ACGCACGCACACACGCACACACACACACACACACACACACACACACACACACATGCGTTGTGGTTAGCACTTCTGCCTTGCAGCACTCAGGGTAACTGGTTTGAACCCTGGCAAGGTCACTATCTGCAAGGAGTTTGCATGTTCTAATTGTGCTTGTGTGGGGTTCCTCCAGTTTCCTCCCACACTCCAAAGACATGCTGGAAGGTTTAATGGCTGCTCTCAAAATTGCCCCTGTATGTACACATGTGTGATAGGGACCTTAGATTGTAAGCTTCTTGAGGGCAGGGGCTGATGTTAATGTGCTCTATTTAAAGTGCAGTGTATATTGTTGGCGCTATAGAAATACCTGTAATAAGTATATATATTTTTTTTTTAAATAAATATATTGTATGGGTTTGGGACAGGAGTATGTAGGATACATTTCTAGGGAACTATAATATAGTAGGTTAATTTTTTGGGAAAAGTGGGTCTGGACTATTTTGGTATAATAACCTACCACCACTTCCAGAGAGCAACAGGCAGACACCCTGCTGCACCTGGTATCAGCTTCTTGCAGTGCCTGTGCAGCAGAGTTTAGACTGTTTGCAAGAAAAGCAGCACAAGCAGACAATCAGTTATGCTGCAGTGGAAGGTACGTGCTGATAAGTGAAGAGAACACAGTGACAGAGAAATTAGCTTTTTTCTTTTGACCTATTCTGTTCCTCTAATTTTAGCATTTTAGCTACACACTCTTGTACCATTGTCTTCTAAACAGTGATTGAAATTTTGAAGGAATATTCATATTTTTGAACTATGACAAGAATAGAAAGAATGGATATGCGTTTTATTACAGCAATATAGAAAAACACATATAGAACCAATACATTATGTACACAACATATTTACACATAATTAAAATGTAACCTGCATGCATGCATTTACATGGTAAGCTGTATGTGTGTACATACACAAGCACATACTGTAATAGCTATATTTGCTGATATATCACCTGACCAACAATTAGTTTTTCTAAATTCAAGTAATAGTAACAGTTTGAGTATAGCATTATAGTTTAAGTCCAATTGAAGTAATAGAAATAGATATGCAGTCAGATAGACATTTTAGACATTCCATTTCCATGTCTTAGCACTACTATTTTATTGCAACAGCTTTGCAAGGAGGCCAAATATTAATTTGAAAATTAGACCTAGTGCGCTCTGTAACTTAACATAACTGATCAGACACTCTCCTCCTTTTCCCCAATATAGTATGAGGAAATGAGGAACATTGTGCTGAGGGATGTGGCTGGTTTTCAGCTCCGTCAGTACAGAACACTGCAATTGGAGGACAGGAATAGTATTTTCACTAAAAGAAAAAAGGAATTTTAAAGTACTTCCAAAAAAAATAATTAGTAGAGCATTATAGCATGCAGGAGTACAAGAAAATATAAAGGTATTCAACTTTAAATGGGCTGTAACAAGGGCAATATATAGAGTTCATGCTGCACTAAGCATATATAAATGATACAACCATTTTATATAGGTTTGTTCCATTATTCTCACAGGCTGTAGGATTATTATTGAGATACTGCAGACAACATGCCACATGCTTTACTAGAACATCTTCAATTGGACTGTAAAATCTATTATTTAGGAGTCTATACGGCAGAAATATGATGTGCTAGTTCTCTCTAAACTACATTGTGCCTTGTGACACCTTACTGGCGTTGACACAATTTTTCACAAGTCAACCAATTCTGCAGAAAAGCCTCAAGAGGTGATCATACAAGGGGAAAGAAAAACAAATATACAACACAGACGCAAATTGCAATTGTGTCTCAGGGATGCCTTTTATTACTAATGTTCTAAGCAATGGCTCACAAATCCTTATGAAAAATACAACACTGACACTAACCAGCTCCATCCAGCTACTCATCTTACTGCTCATGCACCATGTGACTGGCAGAGTTATTGTTTGAATTTACTGGAATATATTTTGAAATGTTGAGGAGCACAGTGGAGTGATGAGCAAGGGCATCTTGGATGGTAATGTCACAATGGCATATCTTCCCAGAAGGAATATGATCTTAATATTGCATGTAGAATAAGGTTTCCCAAATACTTACTCACATTAGGTTTTGCTATATTAACAAATAATAATAACATGCCAAAGTTATGTTCTTTACAATGAACACGCTGATAGCATATTGATAGTCTATATAATTTGGCACGAGTGTAAATTCACATACATGCTTAAAAGAGAACTACGGGGGAACCTTTTTATCCATAGTTCTCTTCAGGGTCACGGAAGCACATATACTAACCTCCTCCCATGACCCAAAGCTCAGTATATAGCGGACTATAGCCCGTTATTTACTGAGAGTGCTGCAACCGGGATGGATCCCGATAATACTGTTGAGATTTACCCAGCTGCTTGATTGACAGCGGGCTTTGCCTATTTAGAGGCAGAGCCAGCTGTGCCCGCCCGCTCCCCTGTCTGTTCCTGCAGTCAGATCAGAGATCAGAGTGGGGAGGGAGTGACAGTCACCGCTCTCTGCTGTGAGATGATCAGGAAGTGAGCGAGCAACGCTATGTGTTCGCTCACTTCCCAATTTATAGAGTCGATGTGTGACAGTTTCAATGTCATACGTTGGATCTAACTATGAGGATGAGTGTAAATCACTCACCTCATAGTTCTCCTTCAAGTTTCAAGTTGAAATAAGAATTTTAGAAATTCTAATTCTGCAGATTTAGCTCTTGGAAATACAGGTAAGGTCCCAGTTCATCACTTACTTCCTCTGAGCTGCCAGAAGAGGTATCTGACCCTCCCTCCAGCAGAGTAGCAATGTTGTGCTTATGATTTCTTACTGCCAAATGCAAAGGTGTGCAACCGGTACTGTCTTCTATATTCTGCTTGGCATTAGCACGGAGAAGTGTCTTTACAATGGCTGCATTAGCATTTAGCACTGCCACATGTAAAGGAGTCCAACCAAACTTATTTTGGGCATCCACATTAGCTTTCTTCTCAATAAGCTTGATAACATTGCCAAATGAACTTCGTTGCACTGCAAGGTGCAGTGGTGTCCAGCCAGACATTTCTGCAACATTTGGGTCAGCCCCAAAATCCAGGACAAGAGAAATTATGGAGTCTTCACTGTAGCGTACAGCTAGGTGAAGTGGTGTCCATTTCATATCTCCTTCAGCATCTAAGGCAGCATTATTCTCCTTAAGCAAATGTATTATTTCAGTGTGTCCTTTAAAAATTGCAAGATGCAGTGGTGTCCATCCCTGATTGTTTTTTATGTTGACCTGAGCACCATGTTTTATGAGGAGTTTACAGATCATGCTATTGCCTTTTACTGCTGCCATATGCAAAGGACTGTAATGGCTTTGATCAACACAGTTAACATGTGCTCCTTTTTGTATCAAATGCTGTACAACCCGGACATAACCTCTATCAGCAGCAATGTGAAGGGAAGTCCTTAGATTCTTCTGCTTGGCATCTTGGTCAGCTCCTTGGCTTATCAGGAGTTTAACAATTTTGTAGTGACCAAAATAAGACGCTATATGAAGAGCTGTCTTCCCATCCATTTCCTGGGAATTTGGGTTTGATTGACGGGTAAAAAGGACCCGAGCAACATTCTCAAAGCCATTTTGAGAAGCCAGGTGAAGAGCTGTCCAATCATCTCGTTCCTTTGCATCTGCATGAGCCCCATGGTCCAAGAGCATACGTGCTATCCGATCATCTCCACCCTGGGCTGCAAAATGCAGAGGTGACCATCTGTCTTCATCAGTTATGTTCACATCTGCCCCATTTTCTATTAAGATAGTACATATGTCCGGGAGCTTTCTCTGCACTGCAAGGATGAGCGGTGTATATCCACTCACAGTACGGCTATTAACGTTAGCATTTAGGCTGAGGAAATGGGTTACTTTTTCAAGGTTTCCTTGAGCTACTGCAAAGTGAAGAAGTGTGAAGTTGTTTTCATTTACCCAGGAAATGTTTTCACTGTTATTTTGTAAAATTTCATTAATGAAGATCTCTGTTAGGAAAAAAAAAGAGTTTTAGTAAAGATTATATTTTTCCCTGTGTACCTATTTTCATTTAAAGATAAATTTTGATGAGCAAGAAGAATATTTAACTGTGTAAACACTGAACGGAAAATAATGTGTATTTTTAGTCATCTCATATATTTTGAGTTACTATTTCAGTGTTTACCTTGAAGTAATTATCATGTGCATTCCCAGACATGGGGAGCATATGACCTTCTTCTCCTCTCTAAAATGCAGCATTTGGTGCCTGAACAGCCAAATATCCAACCCTAGGAGCTGTCATGTGCAGGCAGGGGGAAGGTCCTTAGCGCCAACATTGGGCTTACACAGGACTTTCCACACATGGTTCTGGCAGGTGAACAGACCAGCAGAGTAGTGCAGGGTAGGTAAGAATCAATAGCAGAAGAACTGGGCTATCTAAAGGAAATCTTTGCATGGACATTACTGAGCAAATTTGCATGTCCACTTCAAGGTTTTTACATTACCACAATCTATCTTCACTCACATATAAAGCACAAAGTAGACTTGGATAATGGGAAAACCCTCTGCACTGAATTGTAGCATCAGAGATTGTTGCAGACTACTACTGCACAGAAGTCAATATTGAAAAACAGATCTATGCTTTTGTCAGTCTTATAACCACAATGGGGAGAGCTAGGCTGCTCTCCTGATTTGGATTAAAAACACCTCTCCCTATCTCCTTAACATGAGAGATGGTGTTTTGTAGTCAACAGAAAAAAAGCTAAGAAAGCTGATAGCGTTGTTTGAAATATCAGTCCAGTGCACAGGAAGTTACAAGGACACTACAATTCTTGCAATAGCAACAGATATTTTTCTATACTATATTTAAAATGTACTTAGCCTGAAAATAGGAAAACAAACACAGCCACCACATCTAAGCACTGGCAAGCTGCTATATATTTTATTTTTGTCCTTGGGTTTAGATATCCTTTAGGACACTCCTCCCTAAATGATCTCCCAATCATATGCTTTGTTTAATATTTCCTGTGTAGTGCTGGGAAAGGTCAACTGTACCACTAAAATGGAACCAAAATTCAAATAAAATGCTAGCAGGTTTAATTTCTTGGTAGAAGAGACTTTGTATCTTCTGCAAAAAAAGAAAAAAAATACTTTTCCTTTTTACGAGTACAATTTTTTTAACTACCTGTGACTTCTGTAAAAACTAAAGAGTGAATCCTACGGTCGAAATAATGGACATGCCTGGTGTTTCCCATAATGTGCAAGAATGCTATGAATACTTACACATAATGCCAATTTCTCCAACCTAACTCCCAGCATTATGTTCTGCTTTCACTTACTACTTACTTCTCCCTTATCGAAATTCCAAATTCATTTATGGCTCTCACATGCAGATGATGCAAGTTACTACTGCACTGATACAACATTGGACTGTGAGGTGTTTATCTGCTCTCTGTTAATGAATTAGATGTACAATGCAATAGAGAAAAATGGTTGTCCCAGGCATTTGTGTTGAACTAGAGACTGGGAGCAATATACTGTATACTCTGTTCTTTTTTAGCCAGAGAGTAAATAAGCATTCTCTGGCCCTATGCAAGCCAAGATGACTGTTATAAAGGAGGCCTTTACTACAAATAATAGTTGTATTGGTGGACACATGCAGCTTGCTTTCAGATGCCTTCTATCTACTTTTAAGCTTAGTTTGAGATATGTCTGAGAAAATTCTGAGTTTATTGATGGGTGTATACTGCCTAAATTTCACTTCCTTCTGAACTGCATTTATTAGTATAGAATGAAGTTTAGCACAAACTTACCACTGCTTATGGAACTGGAAGATGATGGCTGGTGATATCCCTGTAATAATGAAAAAGAAAACAACATGTTATGTGTATGAAATATTATTCCTAAATGGTTGCATATCGCTGACAAATATTTCAGTATACTAACTTATCTCTACATCTGGTTGCAGTGGGTTTCAGTACTTTACACTAGAGGTGCGGCGAAATGAAAATGTCAAAACCGAAATTTAAAAAAATGTCAGGTTGAAACCGAAATCAAAACCGAAAATGTTTTTTATTTTAACTTTTTCAATTTTTTACAATAATTTATTATTTTTTTTATATTTATTTAATTATTCATTTTTTTTATTAAATATTTTTATTTTTTAGTTAACTTTTAGGGGCTTTGGGGAAATATTAGGGGTCTAAACAGACCCCTGATATTTCTCTTTTAAAATAGAAAAAGAGATTGAGAACACAGAGCTTTTAATCTCTTTTTCTGCAGCCCTGTTATAAATAAACAGGAATCCTCTATACTGAGTTTTCCTGTACAGTCATAACATGAGAACATAGCGTGTTCACTATAACCACAATCATAAATGAACAGGAGGTGAAGTAGATCACGTCCCATTCATTCATAATTGAGGATATAGTGAACATACTATGTCCTCATTGAAATTATAGCTCTGTCTCCAGAATCACTTCTATTGTAAAGCCAACCATCGGTTTTACACAGCTAAACAGAGTTCTGGTGGCTTTAGCCGCTGAGAATTTGTTAAGAGTGATCTGCTTACAGTGACGTATGCCTTAACTTGCTGGCAGCAAAAGGGTTAAAGAGGGTCTTGAAGGATGTTTCAATGAGTGGATTCACTACTGTGAAAATTAGTTATAGTGGATTTATTTAACTTATATACTGTATGTAGCTCTTTCAAGTCTATATATAAGCTAAAAAGAAACTGCATTTATTTTATATGAATATTCCCTTTTTATGAGCCAAAATCACTAAGATGCATTTTGTCATTTTACCTTACGACAATTCTCAAATGTTTAATTTACATATGTGAATATCACATACTATGGAAATTCTATGTTTTTGCATAACATTTTCAAAGCCTCTATTTCTCATGTATTAATATTTTATTTCCACCTCAAATGGCATTCTCTGCTTTTCTTAATAGACACTGGATAATCCTACACAGTTAACGCCAGGGAAAAGATATTCATAATCTAAGAAGCCGTGCAATACTTGCTATGTGCATTGACTTTGATATACAATTTTATGTCAAAGAATAATACAATTACTTATGTTTGGGTAAAATATAATATTTGCATTGAAAAAATTAGGCAATAATTTTTGTGGTTTAGCCAGTGCAATATTTCTGTAGATAATACAATTAGATAAGAAAATTACACAGAGATGACCTCACAACACAAGTAAGGCTTTGATAACTGACCCCATGGGGTTGATTTACTAACCTTATAAACACGGCACGAACAAGTATACACCTCTGTAGTGTGTTCCCTCCCAGCATGATCTATTGGTGGAATAGACACCTTTGTAGTGTGTACACTCCCAGCAGGTGTGTTGTGCAAAGCCCTGCATGAATTGCAAGGTGATGTTGTGTAAATTAGCTCTACATTGTGTTGCTTGCGTTGATGAATGCAGGAATATAAATGCATGAGCTAACCATTTTTGTGAAGCAGCATTATATATGCATCATGTGCATGATTTTTCCATATATGGCATTAGTGGAAATATGCTTTTAGAGACTTTTTGGTTGATAAATACGTTTTGCTGTGTAAAAATCACACGCACCTAGTGCGTGTGTGTGTTTAGGTTAGTAAATCACCCCCCATGTCTCTTTCAAGTTAGAACTCATTATGCAGTACTTCAAGCCAGCCTCTTGTTAAAAAAAAAGGGAACAAAAATGGAAGTGTTGCCCATGCCTACCCATTAGGTAAAGTATTATGGACTACGGACCCAGTATTATGAACAACAAATCTGCATTTGTTACTATTTTTTTTTTAGATTACCTAATGCACTTTCACTTTTGATTCTGTGCAATCCTTATGGTGGGAGTGTGAGCATCAATACTATACTGGAGCTTGGTGTTGCTTCAGTGTAGTAACCCATAGCAACTGATTGGAATACATGCTTCAGTGATCTGTGTTCAATAAAACTATACATGATTTTTTTGCTATAGGTTACTAAAATATGCATCTCAGCTTTGTTCCTTGCACTATCTTACTGAATTATCCTAAACACCGACTGCTTATTGCCCTTAAAAAATTTAAATAAAAGGAAATAAATTAAAATAACAAGGTTAACATTCTCCATCCTTTAACTTACATCAGTGCTTATATTGTCGACTATTACAGCAGAAGACTTGACAATATCTTTTTCAGCTTTGGACCACGCACCAACATGCTCTGGTAATGGGCTTTGTACCAAACAGAGTAACATGTGGGATTCAACAATAATATCTAAATAAGGAAATCAGAGAGAGTTAACTAGCACAAAATATTTTGAAATATAGAAGGTAAAATGCCAATAATAAATACCATATGTTGTACATGACACAGATCATGGTCATACCAAAAGTGAATAATACATTGTGACTGTAATTAGACTGTAAGCTCCTTGAGGGCAGGGACTGATGTGAATGTGAAGTATGTAAAGTACAATTATTGATAAATGATTGACGCTATATAAATACCAATAATAAACAAAATAATGATATCAGAGCTCCATGACTAAAAGTAATATTTCCCACTGCCTCCAACCCAAATAGTCCAGGCGAACATAATGGAAAGAGGTTAACACAAGTGTAATCTACAGAGTTAAAACTGATCTTCAGGCAGATATAAAAGACACAAAATGAAAGCAGCTCTGTAATCATTAATAAAAAATTAAATATTTGAACGAAGAAAAATGCATAGGTCTTCAAAATGAAATCTTAAAAGAAAACTATGGGCTAGCCTTTTTTCCCATAGTTCTCTTCAGGGTCACGGGAGGACATATACTAACATCCCCCCATGATCCAAAACTCAGTATATAGCAGACTATCAAGAGCGCCGCAGCCGGGACAGATCCTGGCAATACTGTCAAGATCTGCCCCGCTGGCTGATTGACAGCAAGCTCTGCCTATCTAGAGACAGAGCAAGCTGTGCCCACCCCCTCCCCCGTCTGTTCCTCCAGTCAGCACTGGAGGATCAGAGTGGGAAGGGGGGAATCTCTGTTGGAAGCGGTGACTGACAGTCACTGCTCTCTGCAGGAAGATGATCGGGAAGTGAGCAAGTGACGGTATGTGTTCACTCACTTCCCGGTCTATAGAGCTGACGTGTGACCGTTTCAATGTCACACATCAGGTCTAACTATGGGGATGAGTGTGATTCACTCACCCCATAGTTCTCCTTTAAAGAAGGTGTACGTTGAGATATACTGTGTGTGTGTGTGTGTGTGTGTATGTATATATATATGTATACTGGGAACTATATTACTCATTTTTACATATAAGTTTGCAGTAAAAAGGATCATCACTCTGCAGCTATCATATGCTGTGTCTGTTCCTTATTCTCCTGGATTGTGGATGGATTCTTATGTGCACACACTACCAGTGGAGGATTCACCATGGCACTAGTGGCATGTACTGACATATATCCAAACATCTATTGTGAAATGTTTCTTACAGTCAGATAAAACAGAAAACACTTCCCTCTGCATACTATTACAGAAATATGATAAAGGTATCTTCTTCTTGAGCCTCCACTCACATTTATATTAGGTAATAATGTCATATAGGATACTCCATATGAAGATAAGACATATTGTGTACTTTAATTGAGTTCTACTGAAAATGTCCAGAATCATACTAGAGCAATAGTAGAGAAATGATCCAGTATTGCAATCTTCTTATTGGCAAGGGTTATTTGATCCATAGTGAGTCACACTCCATATAAGAGCTCCTGTCAAACTAGGGTATATTTCTCTTAACAATTGCACTGGTACTAATATAATAGGATTATTATCACAATCCTATCACATCTACTATCTCCTCAGCAGTAGACCAGATACTTCAGGCTATTACAGAGCATTCCCTGAAACTAGGGGGTCTATCCACAAAGCTGCTAAAGGATCCAGCTGTAGCTTCGGCTCATCCTTTGGATAGCTTTGGATGTGGGAGCCCTTCAATTCAGTCGAACTGAAGAGCCGCTGTACCGGCTATTCACTATAGCCCGTACAGCTTCAGAAGGTGGCCGTGCAGCTCAGTCGAGCCGGAGGCATATGCTTCGGCTCAACTGAGCCAAAGTGACACCTGAAGCGGGGCGAACGGCTGGCTGAAGGCCAGCCATATGTCTTGCAAATGACAGCTGGGCGGAGCCAGCCGTGATCTCACGGCTGGTTCACCCCAGTTGTAATGACAGATCGGTGTCCCCAAATGACATGGGGACACTCGTCTGTCATTAAGCAATAACAACTGGGCGGATCCGGCCGTGACGTCACAGTTGTTATTCATTGGCTGGAACCTGCTAGAAGACTCTAGCAGGTGCCGGCCAATAGGAAACAGTTGGATGGAGCTAGCTGTCACTGCTAGCTCCGTCCAATTATTTATTTATTTTTAGATTTTTTTAAATGTATTATTTATTTACATTTTTAATCATGTTTTTCAACTTAAAAAAAAAATATTTTTTCACTATTTGCTATTCTGCTCGGTAAGACAGAGGTACCGAGCAGAATAGCCGAGCCGAAAGCCGCTCGCCGAAGCTTCGGCTCAGCCGATCCAGATGTTGGATCGGCTGAGTCGAAGTCCTTCTGCACTTCGGCTCAGCCGAACATGCAGAGCCATACTGAGCCATATTGAATAGCCAAACGTTGTTTGGCTCACTTCACTACGGCTTGATTATTCACTCGGCTGCCTTTGGCAGCTTTGTGAATAACCCCGTATAATTTATCATTCAGTTTATTATGCAGTTATGCTAACTTGCTAAATTATTAATCCTTTTAAAATATTTTCTGGGAATTTTCTTTCCACACATTAGACGCGATTCAAAGTGACCAGAGAATCTCTTTGAGTATCATTCAACTAAATACAGTAAGTGCAACATGCTACAATATACAGTTTGCAAAGTGGAATCTAGATACAGACCTCACCATTAGATAAACAGGCCTCTAGCATTCCCAATATTAATGCAGAGCGGCAATGCCAGTACAAAGTCCCCATATTTAAGTTATATAGTCCAGTAAATGAACATTGTACAGTATATAGATATGTGCCAAATGCTTCAACATATACATGTAAGGAGGTAACAAAATTACAAGATGTGTACTCCAGCTAAATAAAAATACAGATTAGATCTCATCTGAGTCTGATGGGGCATCTGTACAAGTCCTTATGTTGGTCAGAGTGAGGAAAGTATGGGCGTGTAACAGTCAGGCTCTGGGTGGATCTGACCCATTCAAAGGAAAGGACTTCTTAAAAGACTACATCATTAAATGCATGTTTGAAATCAAAGAAAGTACTTGAATTTGACTTGGAAATAGTCCATTGGTAGAAGGAGAAGCAATAGTGACAGAAAGTTATGTAAAAAGTCTGCTGCTTCTTTTTTCACTGTTCAGTCACAGTCTGCGAGATTGGCAAGAACTGTAACTGTTACTTTCAGGTCTTCTGCCCTGCAAGACAGGAGTGTACTGTTTGGAAGTGCTTTATAGATCTTATGACTGGATTGATAGAACTACAATTGCTTTGGCAGGTAGAACAGCTCCCTTATATGTATTTCATCTGTATTTGTATTTCTTTGCCTGGAGCTCAGCTTTAATCATTTTGCTGCTGTGTTTTACAATATGAAATAGATAAAAGGGACATTTGATCTTTAAAAGCATTTTGTACAATAGGCTCAAAGCACTTACCAGAAAAACTTGGTCTTTTATTTGGGTTTTGACTCCAACACCTCTGCATCAGGTCACTCATCTGCTGACATTCGACAGGGCCATTTTCAGAAATATCCTCTAATGGAGGTCTCTGGCCAGCTGCTACTTTCACGATGACAGTCATCATGCTGTTACCTAAAGAGAGTGAGAGATTCATAAATAGTTTTACTAAATATAAGTCAATAAACTGAGATTGTCACTACAAAGAAAAAAGACTGCCTGCAAAAAAAAGATGCCCAATACTTACCTCTCCAGCAAATGGTAACTTGGATCTTTGCTGTCTTCAAGAGCAATGGCAGGGGAAAAGTATTCTGGACAGAGCTGGACCATCCACAAGGTAACCATTGAAGGGGCCTAGGGTCCAGGTGATGTCAAGGGGGCCCAGCCATAATCTTTATGCTCTTACAGTTAACCTGTGGATAGCACAGTTGATCAAAGATGTGCACCTGCCTGTCACTTCACAATGGAGGAGTGCAGGCAGCTGTTTTTTTTGGAAAAGGCCAAGCCATTGAACACAATGCAAGTATGGTGGCTTCTCATTGCCTATTGCAATCCTCAATCAATATTCATCAGAAGAATGAGGGGATGCAAAGGTGAAACCTTGCCTAGGGCCTCTTTTTTCCTTAACCATCCTCTAGTGACGTAGGGACTGCTGGATGGAACCACAGCACAGCCTGCAGCAGAGGACCAGACATCCAACACTCCAGAATATATGTCAGATGATGAAGATACCTCAGCTGGCACAGCTCAAGAAAACACTGAAGATCCTAGTCAGTAATTAGGTACAGATTTCCAACAGAAATCTAATTTCCTGCTTACATAATTGGCCTACTTCACTTCCCCCTCAAATTAACTTTTGTTACATAACTGTGACTGATCATTTGATTTTAGCAGGTGAACCCTTTTCAGAAATTAGAATGTGACTGCAAGAAGAAGGGAATTAGTGGATGCCAAGTACGATTTTGCAATAATGTTTTCTAAAATCCTTCAAACCTATATAAATATCTGAGGAAACATTTTTTTTTTTTTTTTTAACAAAAGTTGCAACTAATACATTATTGTTCACAAGCCTGTAAACATGTCTAGCACCTTCTGCAAAGACATGAAGTATTAAGGAAATGTAAAGCTTAATTTAAGGCCACAATATCCTTGGTTAAATGCAAACCACTTTCACATGCTACTGTGTACATTACAATATCATACAATAACACATCAATATACTCAGTTTCAGAGAAAATATTCTTGTTCTTTTGCCCCTTTGTTCGCTATTTTATGTCATGTTGTCATTCACACATACATTTATGTGCACTATATTCTCCACTTAGCAAGATGCATTGGAAGAATATGAGTTTGACACAAAAGGCTTAAAAATCATATTTACCTATAAATGGTTTCTTCTGAGTCAAAAGCTCCCAGATAACAATTGAGTAGCTGCAAGACAGAAAAAAGACAATATTGGTGGCATGTTTGACAACTAAAATTGTTTTTTTTTCCTTTGCATCCAAACCTATTTTAATACAGTTCAATAATCCCATTTCAGACAGGAAGCGACAAACTGATTTGAAGATCATTCTAAACAGTTGTAGATGTGAAAGCAATGAACACTGTACATATTCCTTATTTTTAAATGCCAATTCTTATAGCAAGTATAAACCCATGAACAAAAATGTAATTTATTGGAGCTTATCAGTCCTTAGATGAGGTGGCTGCTACAGTTTATTTTTTTAGACTTTTTTCCCTTTCACCGGGCTGTTCTCTGTATGACCTGTTCTTTGGATGTACTGTTCTGTAGATGGACAGTTTTCTGGATGGACTGTTCTCTGGATCGACTCCTTAATTAGGATAGTCTCAGTGACGTATTTTGTCTAGTTCATGAAATGATTTATATTTGTAATCATACCTGTACACATCATATTTAGTCCCCATAACTCGGCTGCTTTGCAGAAACATTTCTGGAGGGATGTAATTTAAGGTTCCTTTGATTGCTGATCTCTCTATGTATTCCTTTCGGGTCGAATTCTCTTTCCATTTAGACAGACCAAAGTCTGAAATCTGAAACAGAAGCAATACATTAAAAGCTGCATCTTATATGTTTAAGTGCATGTTTTCTAAAAAATAAACATCTAAGGCCTTTTCAAAAACCTCAATGTTAATGCACTGGACATGCAAAAGTCATCTTTGCCCACTACTTCATTTTATTATATAATTTCTATAGAAAATAAATTTTGAGTTTGAATGCAACTATATGAAAAAAAAGGCTTGTACTGACATATTATGGCCGCTACCATTGCTGCTCATTCCCCTTTCCGTCCTCTCTTCCCAACACACATACCTTTCTAAAGGGACACTAGCATTTACAGAAGGGCAAGGTAACTGATAACAGCCTTCATTTTCTCTCAGTACAGGTTTCCTTGAAATTACCCCTGTGTTATGGAAATATGGAAAATTACAGGAGAGGGTAGATACAAGACCAGTCAACCTGATCATGGAGAGAGGGCTGGCCTTTATTACAGGAAGCTTGTGCACAGAGGCAAAATTTTACACTGGATTACTGCACAAATCTGGACGAAATGCAGAAAGCACACCAAGATTTTAGTAAGAATAAACTGGCCTCTAACATTTGGACAATATTAACTTAACATGCAGTTCAGTTTTAAATAGCTTTCTTGGAAGCCCATGTTATCACATAGGGGAGTTTAATTAGCCACCGTATGTGATAGCAATAAAGTTGCTATCACATATGTGATAGAAAAAAAGGAAAAAAAATGTAAGTCCCCCCCCCAAAAAAAATTTAAAGTTACACATAAAAAAGAACTTAAAACAACCCATACATACAACCCAACCCATACATACACGCATGCAAACATGCGTCGGGGGCGCATACGTGCAAAAAAGACGATTGCGCCCATTACGCCGCACATGTTACATATCGCCGCGAACGTCAGAGTGAGAGCAATAAGTCTAGGGCCATCAATCACTGATAACACTAAACTGATGAGCGGTAAAAGCTTTTAAAGTGTCGCCTATGGCCAATTTTGGGTATGGTAGTTTTCTGCGATTTTGCGGGTGCACCAATTTTAAAGCTTGACATGTTTGGTGTCTATTTACCCGACGTGACCCGATCTTTTCTATTGTACCAAAAAACTGGGTAATATTAAATGTTTCCTAACATAATGTAAAAAAATAACTTTTTTTCAAAATTTTCTGTAATTTTTCCTAATTATAGTAAAAAATAAAAACCCCAGGTGGTGTTTAAATACCACCAAAAGAAAGCTCTATCTGTCCCCAAAAAATGATATAAAATTCATTTCAGTACAGCGTTGCATGACGGAATAAACGTCAGTCAAAGTACCGCAGCGCTGAATACTGAAAAATGGCCTGGCCAGGAAGGGGGTCTAAACACCTGGTCTTGAAGTGGTTAAAACCATTTGGTATTAAATAGACATGTTTAGATGTTCATTCTGTTACATCCCTCATTAGTTTTAGTTCCTTCCTTAGGGTATACTACAAAATTTACTACTGAGCTACCATAATTGAGTTTCCTATATTTTCCGCTTTTCTTTTAGCATTTTTACTGTAATCTCTCTTTTTATTAAAAAAGTAAAAACAGCGTTGACTTTAATCACATCATTAAATGTATAGTGGTTGAAATATAGTAAGGAATAGATTAGGATGAAATGTTCAACAAAAACATATGTATAGCCTGCCATAAATGATTATCAAAAATATAAATGGTGAAATCACAAATATAGTATTCATATAATTAGTATCTGCTAATATTTTATAAATCTGGAACTATTTATTTCATATTAGTATATCTCATGGTCAAATGATCGGTGTATTGGAGCAATTACAGCACAACAGATGCCCCGAACATTGATGTCTCAAAAAAGCTTTTAAACTGTGGTGTTATGGTTCGATGGGTATTGTGATCGTTTTTAATTCCACCAAATAATAACAGCATATGGGTCCGATTCATCAAGCTGTAATAACACTTTGTATTTTAAAATAATTTGCAGAATCACTTGTCCTGAGAAACTCTGTGAACTTTTGTTCTGTGAAAATGGAGGCAAAAAAAACCTGTAATAAAACTGTGAATTTTTAAACAGTTTGCAGAGCCACTTGCAGAGCCATTAAAGTCCATGTAAAGACACTTCCTGTTATGATATGGCAACGTTATAACCATATCTCCCAACTGCTTCTCCTGTGTTGTCATGCTGTCACATGCTGTTCCAGTGGAGACTAACAGGGTTATTCAGAAAAGGGTGAAGAGTTTGGAGAAAGCAGGACAAGTGAACAATCTAGGACAATATAGCTGAACTAGAAAGCGAGCTAAATTGGAGAATTTCTCCAAATCAGCTATTTTGTCCTAGATTGTTCCCTTCTCCTGCCTTCTCCAAACTCTTCACACTTTTGTGAATAACCCTGTAAAAGTGGCTTTGCCAAAATTCATTGTGCAGACATGTTTCTGCAGTTGTGACCATCAGGAAGCCTGTCCTGAGCAAAGATACTCAGCAGCTGGAGTGTGTACATGTAGACAAGAAGAGGCTGCAAAAAGGAGATCAGCAGAGCTGAGATGCAAAAAAAATTAAAACATTAAAAACAAATGGCAACTGTTTGTGATACACTTTGCTTTTGAAAACTAAATGTCATCCAGCAGAGGTTTACATCTACATCCAACAGTATAGCCAGAGAAAAAGAGAAGATGCATGAAGGAACTATATCATTGAGAAAAGTCAGATATATCTATAAACATGCATATTTAAAAAAGAAAGTGCTAAGTGCAGAATCCAATACAGTAATCTATTAGTATAACATTTCAGCAATCTCTACACAAAAAAGATTAATTAATTGTTTGGGTTACTATATGTTATATGTCAACTTTATGCACTGGAGCCTATAATAAAAAAGCAGAAATAAAAAATCCTAATTTAATTTTATAATGCAAAAAATGCAAAGCATGGTTCTGCCTTCAGAAATATGTGGAACATAACAGAGAAATCTTTCTAGGTCATCGTCTCCCTTACAGTAAACTATGTGTCTTCACCTAGAACTGGAAATATGAGCAGCTGAAAACCTACATTACTGCTATAGCCTGGAGAACTTGCATGTACATTTAAGCTTTAAAACATGCATAATATGTTATCTGTCAATATTATCCAACTCAATGTCATTCCTATGATATCTGCCTGTAAAATGAGGCACAGTAACAATACAAAGTCCTTGGAAATAAAACTGCATTGGAAGTAGTAATCTATGCATTGTTTCGCCACATGTTTCCTATATATCAACCTGACTTACCAATTAATCAGAGGCAGGTTTTAAGTAACCATAACGAAACCCACAAAGCCACTTAAGCTGTACAACCTCTACATCCCCAAAGGACCGACTGAATATTTTCATTTCTGCTATTGGCCTGTTTATTCGGCAATAACTTTGTCATTGCTTACAATAACACAGTAATACATATATTGTTTTTGTAGGACAAACATGGTTTTCTTTTGCAAACATTTTCTTTTATGCAGTCCAAAGATAAAAAGTATATATTTTTAAATGCACCTTTTTCCAATTCGAAACCTTTTTTGGCTTTAGTCCTCTTTTGGTTTAAAGGAGTACATTTACTAATGTACTCCTGGGACCTAAAGTCAGCATATAGCGGGCTATTGCACAGAGCCACACTGCAGCCGGAGAGAAGAATATTGACAGAATCCACCTCTCTGCCTGATTGACAGCTGGTTCTGCCTCTAGACCCACCCTGTCTGTCCTTTCAATGAGCACTGGAGGAATAGGGGAGGGGGGATCCCTGTGGGGAGCTGACAGTCACCGCTCTGTGCATGGAGGAGACTGTGTGCTGAGCAATCAGCTCCAGATCTATAGAGCTGACATGTGACAGCTGCAGTTTCAGACACCATCTCTAAGTATTGGGAAGAGTATATTTTATTCTATTAATACTGCTCCTTTAAAAACAATTGTGTTATTGTAAATAAAAACTGCACTCCACAGTGCTCAGCAAACTCGCAATAGAATGCTCTCCAATATCAGTTGTACGCAGGCTGCCGTCATCAAGTGACACTGGGAAATTTCCTCATAAGGCATGCAAAACAAATAGACAGCACCTTGTCCTTGTGTATTACCGGTTATTAAAAAATAAACATAGAAATTAACATAAAAAACTACTCACAGAGCTCTGAGGAAGGGTGAATATCCACTGAAACACGTCAGCTAGCGAGGTAGCTTTTTTGGGGTCAGCCTTGTACCTTTCATCCAGTTATTATCATGTGAGTAGTTTTTTATGTCAATTTCTATGTTCATTTTTAGTAAAGGGTAAAACATGAGGGCAAGGCGCTGTCTGTTTTACAGTAGATAAAAAATATACAGTTTATTCTATGATTTGTCCTGTTTAATATTATGGACAAGATTTGGGTTCAGTTTGCAACATCAGCCAGAGGTTCGGGCAGATGAACTGTATATATACTGTATATCTATCTATATCTATCTATAGATATAGATAGATATAGATATAGGATAGATATAGATATATCTATATACACACATTTTTGGTATTTGTATAGCAGCTAGGGTGCATTTACTTATTTATTTATTTGTTCAGTTATTTCATTAGCACAGACTAATATAGTATTTTCATTTAGCTGAGTTTACGATGTAATCTCAGGTGGCACTTCTAGCTGAAATTATTTTAAATAAAATTTTCCCCATCACTGTGTCACATGGTTTTGTTAATAAAAAAAACCATATCACACAGAAAGCCATGTTTGATCCCATTGCTAAGTGGTACGGCTTTATTGATAAACTGCCCTTAAAATCCAAAAAGTCTTTAAAAGTTTCAGAACTTCTAAAAACCGTCTATGTTGTTTGCCTTAAACACATGTTTTTTAAAGTTCAAAGCAGCCTCTTAAACTTTAGTTAGCCAGAAACTCAGTTGAGGTTCCCCGTAACTTTGTGTGTACTCAGTTACAGCAGATGCATATCACCATGGTATGCTGTCTTGAACAGCCGACACTGAGGTGACAAGATGCCATGCTTGCAAATTTGAGTTTTTGCCAGGAGTAACAGGAGTAATGTTTTTTTCACAAAGTGTTCATGCATGAAAATGAGCGCAATATGAATGTTTTTAAGCACTTCATGAAATATGTAATTCTTTGCTCATATATACAATGTGCTGTTTAGTTTGTATAAAGTCAGTGTAATGAACAGGGCAGTGTAGCAGTGTATTGAAGAACAGACGCAAGTTTCAGCTAGATGTCTCCAACATCAACTTCAAAAATGTAACATCTTTATGGTACATTCATATAGTCATTTATAGAATATTGGCTAGTATTTAGAAAATATGTTTACAGTGTATGTATTTTGTATATTTAAAGACTAAAGAAAAACAAAATCCAATTTAGACATCAACCTACCTTAACATGTAAATGTTCATCCAGAAGAATGTTTCCTGGCTTTAGATCCAAATGGAGTAATGGTGGGTTCATTATATGGAGGAAGTTCATCCCTAGTGCTATCTCGTGGATGAAACGAAACTTGAGATGCCAGCTGAGGGTGTGTGTGGGGAGAAGCTTCTCAAGAGATCCATTTTCCATATATTCCATCACAATTCCAAGTGGATCAAGGCAAATTCCATAAATTTGTACAATGTATCTGAACTTTATCTTCTCCATCTTAGATGCTTCTTCCATAAGACTGGTGTAAGTTGTGCTGCAAAATTAAAAAATGTAAAGAAAATTTCACGTGTTAACCTTTCCTGATAAAGGGAATTCAGTCAAGCATAATTTAAGTGCCTGTAATGATCGCTGGTAGCCTGTATTTTACCCTTGGTAAGAAAATATTTCGTGAACTTCCAATTTTTGTGGTCTGTGCCCTTCTTTCTGACATATGTGATCATTGCATTTTGCCTATAAACCTATTTTCTTTCCCCACAGCATCTGGAATATAGAAGTGTCAGAGCTGCTGCATTTGAAGCAACCTAAAAGACATGACTGTGTCATTCTGTGGCACTTGTTTTCTCTTTGCTTCCTTATCCATTTACACAGCTGATGGAGATACTTTTATGCAATATTTATGAAAACTGCTGGTTCCATTTGCCTATAGTGATCAATCATATTTTGTCTTCTACTTATTGGGAAAATGAAACAATGAATGCTATAGGTCAATATAACCAATGTCCAGTTATATAGTCCGCTTTTTGTTACTTTGTCACAAGTATTTTTTTTAAATTTGCTTTGTTAATTACCGTTACCATGTATTCAGTTGTGAAGGAAGGAATTGATTTTTCTGAATAGTAATGCACTGTGACTTTGATATGTACATTATATGGCCAATATTATGTGGCTATCCCTATAAATGTATCAGTTCAGGCTGGTGGAAAGACAGTTTAGACAATTGTGCGCTCCCAACCTTATGACAGCAGTTTGGGGAAGGCCATGTTTTAGCATGATTGTGTCCCTCTGCACAAAGCTGACTCCACAAAAATATGGTTTGGCAGCTTTTGTGTGGAGAAACTTGAGTGGTTTGCACAAAAAGCCCTGACTCCAACCTTAGTGTACACCTTTAGGATAAGTTAGAATGCAATGAGGAGCCAGGTCTTCTCATCCAACATCAGTAAGTGACCTCACAAATATTTTTTTGGCTATAAGGGCACAAATTCCCACAGGCACACTCCATACGTTTCTGGAGACCTTTAAAGCTGCAGGGAGTGGAGGGCTACATTATAAATATTATGTTTTAGTTTTGTTTTTAAATGTCATTTTTATTGAAATGTATAAGAATTATGATTACAGACATGACATTTGTCAATTAAGATATTGCCAAAATATGGCAAAGCAGGTAATAACAGAAACCAATAAACAAGAAACAGGAAACATCACAATCGCTAGGAAAGTATTCGACAAATCCTGGAGTAGAGCAAGCAGAAAAAACCAAAAAACAAAAAAGGGTCCAAAAGATACAGATACAGGCAGTGGGACCAGTAAGGAACAGTGTAGGCGCTATCCATGCATGAGAACGCTAAAGGACATCTAAGGCACCCAGAGACCTAGCCAACTTTGAAGTGATATACCATTTTGTGTCTTGGAACATTAACATCAGTTCTTTTAGGTGAACGGGAGATACTTCAGCCAGAAGGAATCTGGCTGAATTCTAGTCTAGGTAGTAAATACTTTTTCTGTATGTATGTGATGACATTGGGAATCCAACCTTTCCATCAGTATCAGTTTGTGTAGGAGATTCTTTAGAGCTGTTAAAGAAGGGGGGGATAGTAACCAGTTTGTCAGTATAGCTTTTTTGGCAGCGATGAAGCGTAAATGTTCCCAGCGGAGGGAGGTTTAGAGGCGTGTGCTGAGGAAGGGGTTAGAGCGTGAAATAGACAAAGGGCTGGGTTAAGAGATCTCTGAGTTCCTGAAATAGTGTCCATGTAGGTAAGGACACCAGTCCAGAATGAACGAATAGTTGGACAAAGCCATATTGAATTATCTAAATCAGGGGAACAGATGAGACACTTAGGGCAAGCGGTCAGCCAGTCCGGGGGGTGTTCTTGAATTGTAAATTGAAAGCGTAAAATGCTCTATGAATTAGTTTATATTGGATTTCTCTCCAGGATTTGCAGATAATGGCCTTCCTCAGAGAAAGCCACCCACAGAGGAGCAACTGGTCAGCATCTTCAGGTGGAATTTGGAGAAATTCTACCCATCTGTTAACATGTGTGGAGAATGAGGAAGGAAAAACATTGCTAAGGAAGGATTGGATGGTATGAAAGATGGTGGGCAGTGGCATTTTCAGGGAGGGAGAGGTTAGGAGTCCCTGGAATGTAGGGACCATGGCAACGGGAGGTTCTTATTTATAAAGTGGTGAATTTGGTCATATTATAGGAAGTGATTTACGGAAACATGGAAAGTGGAATGCAGTTCCACGAATAGCTTACAATGTTTTTTTTTGTTTTTTTTGGGATTTATATTTTTTTATTTCACTGTGCTTTTTTTTTATAAATTCTTTATTTCAAAGTTTTCAAAAGTTTTCCGTCTTTTCCAAACAAAAGAGAAGGACAGATATATGTAATACAGGTAAGACCGGTGAAAAACAGTGTGATGCATAAACATTGCAGCAGCATATTCTGTGGTTGTAATGTCTTCACCGTTTGGAGCTTATACGACAGCCATTTGTCAGGTAACGATCTCGTCTTCCAGCAGATTATACTCAGGAAGGGTAGTCCTATACACATATGAGTATATGGGGATCGTGTGGAAACAATAAGTAGGTGTATCTGAAAGTGAAGGGAGTCACCGCGCGCCGTCGCGGGCCCAGGTATTACCAAAAGGCCAAGCGCCGGCGCCCATTCAGCACACATCAACACATTAATGTAAAAGATTTGTGAGGTGGGTATCCTCCCATTCCGCCCCCCATTAGACGGGGGAGGAGGGATGGGGGGGCCCCGTTACCGGAGGGACCAGGCAGGGCATCATCCGGAGGACTCTTCGGTGGTGTGGAATCTTGGGGTAGTCCATTGCGTTCAGGTCAACGACTGCATCCCGCATACCCTAAACAGAGCAAAGCAGAAGAACGTACTTGAGGTGCACCAGGGTATAGTTCTTCAGTAGAGGGTAGATGCCTAAGTAGTTATCCGGTACAGGAACGTAACTGTGGCAGGAAGGGTCAGACCTCACGCACAGTCTGGGGTCCCGTGGGGGGTCCAGGTCTGCGAGTCACGTTCCGAATGCATCGGTGGGGGCCATCTCCAAATCCAGGCCGGTCGGCGTGGAGGCTTTGCGCGCGCCGGTAGGCCGCAGGCACACACGAGGGGGCCGTTCATCAGAGGGGTGTCCCGGAGACACGAATAGCCTCTTAAAAGCGGTTTTGGGGGTAAACTGGGACCCCTTCCCTTTCGGCTTCTTCCCCGTGGTGTCAGATACTGGATGCTGGAGGCTGCTATAGCCGTTTGGCGAAAGTCGGGCCGGGAGCTCAGTAAGATCACAGCTCACACGGCCATTGCCAAGCCACGCCCCCCTGTTTTTTTTTTGTTTTTTTTTAATGGGATGTCCATCAAGGTCATAAAGGTGTCAAAGTTAGGTGAACACAAACTTTTTGACGTATATTATATTTTCCATTGTTCACCTACACAGTGGGTACTCACTTTTCATAACTTTTTTCAAAATTTTTCAGATATCGTCAGTTGCCAATGCTTCACAAACATTGTTTGAAATGCCTTTCAAATGCTTATTTATTTAATTTGTAACACTTGGCATTTTGATTAGAGATACTGTTTAGCCTTTTTCCAAGACTCTTGTCAAAAAGCACCTTCACATACACCAAATTGATGATCAGCCATATAAATGGAAAGTAAATCTATGTTTATAAAAAGATATTTGAGCCTTAGGAAGTGCAGAGCAAGAAACACCAAACAACCATCACGGCAAGCAATAAAATGACAAAATCCACCTCAAAACTCCAATTACCTTTTTCCTGACTCACTTTCTCTTTAAAATGTTTTAAGTGTTTAGCGGGGTTAATCAGCTCTTCCTATACAGCTACCAGCATACAATATTTTTTCACTAAAGTGGGCCTTTAAAGTAAAAACAAAGCAAGTTTTCAGCTTATCTTTGTTCTTGTACCAAGATAAAGTTATTCACAGTGGTATTAATGTATTAACTAACAATCTATAAACCCCCAAAACAGATTGTGGCACCCAATTTGGCATAAAATATTTTCTTGTTCACAGCTGGTATGCATTTACAAGTCATTAAAATGGCTTAGAGAGAGTTTTAAAAATAGTTGTCACTTTTTGCAGTTGAAATTGTTAACTTTTTTTTAATAAAGTCTGTACTCAAGAATGCATTTATATGATACAAAACTATCTATCTTTCTTTTAAGATTGGTGCCAGAGGTTTTGAATTAAACTGAATATCAGTGGCGTATTCCATACAAGGTTTTTAGTTTAATCTGGTGTATTAATAGCTACAGCTCTGAATCAATGTGTCAGCTGAAAGAACAAACCATTTTTATATCTTTTTTTGATATAGTTTATCTTAACACGTCTATCAATTTCTCAGTTTTTAGAAATTCTAGCACTTACTTTATATTTAAAAGTTATCACATAGCCGATAGGTGTATGATGTTTAAAAAGGAATTAACAGTGTTCACCTAATTTAGTGAATGAGTGAAGCTGTGTTAATGTCAATCATCCAATCATATCCATTCAATTCAATTATCTGATCAGTTGCAGAGCTTTTTTTTTAACTAAATTCCTCTGCATATGATTGGGTATTTAAACTGAGCAGAGCTTGACTGTGTTCCTAAACATCTATCCCCCAACTTCGCAAAGGGACCAGGTCTACTCCTTTAGGAAATAACCCAGACTTTCTACAGTGCTTGTGATGGCACTAATGCTGCATGGCACTACAGTGAATGCCTTGCAGACCCAAGGTCACATACTACCTATAAATTATCCATTGCATTAATATTTTTTCAGTGTCTGATTTCTTTACAAAATGGATAAACTATGGAAAATAAATGGAGAAATACTGTTTTATACAATTAAAACTGAACTATGTTAAGGTGTTTGTGGGAAATGATAGTGGCATACCAATACTTGACTTTCTGAAAGGTTTGGATAGAACCTCTAGAAAGCTGCAAGGGGCTAACTGCATTGTGGCAGATACTTCATGTATTTGTCAGAGCAACAAAGCATATTGCAACAAGGCATTGCA